TGCTAGGGGTTTTTCTATGGTTTTAACCTCTAAGTATTTAAGAGTTTCTTTTCTTTTACAATTGTTTCCTGTACTTTGTGCTCAAAGGATGTTAGTGGAACAGCTGTGATTTTTGTGGTCTTGCTCACACATGATCAAATTTTGGAAGTCGTGGCCACTTGGAACAATGCACCTTTGCTGATGGACTCAAAGTTACGTTTATGGCTGTAAAATCAAGCTTTTAATTGTGGCCTGTATTCTCCATATAATTACTTCTACCTGTAAGACTTGTTACATTTTGAGAGCAGTTTACTGTTCTCTCACTCTGATTATGGTTTTTTTCAGATTCTTTATTTCTAACGGATTTTGTTTAATGTATTTTGATCATATTACTCTAGAAATAATCTGGAATTTTAGTCCAAATTATTAAACTTTATTAATCAATACATAACCTCATAAATCACAGTTATTTGGAATTAACTAAACTTTTACTGGTTTCTTTGCTCACTGCAGGTGGTTTCTTGTGTCTCACATCCTCTCATTTTTTGAGTTACTTGTTTTTGTTTCTTTGTTTTTCTGGAGTACTTCCTCACACAACTTTATTCTCAGTAGTACGTAAGTATACTTTCTAAGCCTTTCTGTATCTGAAAACACCTTTTTTTTTTTCCCCTAATGCGTGAATAAAAGTTCAACTGGGTGTCTAGAAATCCCAGGGCCATAGTTCCATTAGAACTCTGAAAACATGACTTACAGCATTTTGCTTCTCAGTTAAGTTGCTACCAGTCTGATTCTCTTTCTTTAGTAGGTAACTTCTTTTTCCTTTGTCTTTACGTTTTTTTTTGCCTTTTGTAGTGTTTTACCTTCACCCTTGGAAATCAGAAATCTGACTCAACCCTTTGATTTGAACATTCAGGTTTTTCACTGGGTCAGGAAAACCTTTTGCATCTGTAATTTTAGTGTTGCTTCTCCTCCTGGAGTTTACACTTTACGGACAGAGAGTAGGTCTTCTCACTCTTGCTTCCTCTGGGGCCCTCCTTTTGTTTTGCGTGGGTTCATCTCCTCTGACTGGCTTTTCGGGGGTGTCTGTGCTGCTGTTTATATGGCTTCTATTGAGTGTTTACTTTGCTAATCATGTTTTTAATTTTTAAGATCAACCTGGGTGTCTGATTGGTCTTTTTCCTCAAGACAGTCTATTCACGTATTAAAGCGCTGCCCTCTTGAATCTCACTGGGAAATCAAAGCAGACTTTTTAAAAAGGCTCTCCCTCTTTCCTGAATTAATTCACTGAGTCATTTGCTTGCCTTGCTCAACTTTGCTTCCCTTTTTCATGCTGCTGATTCTCTGTATATGTCTAGTGAATTTTAATTGTCCATTCATGTACTTAAATAAACTCAGCAGAGGACATACTAGAATCCCTAGGGGAGCTTTATCGTAACATACACCATAGGCCCCACCTGAACCAGTGAATTTAGAATGTTCTCAGAGAGGGCAGTGTTGGGGGTAGCAGTTAAGATCTAGGCGCACAGAGATCTGTGCCCAAAGCTTGGCTCTGTCTCTTGCTAGCTGACAGATTTCTGGTCCCTATCAGCTCCTGAGGTGGTCCTTTAAGAGCCCACGGGTGGTGGGCAGGGGCTGTAAGGAGGCACTTGGACAAGCTGGGGTAGAATGCTGCACGTTCTGAATCTTGAACAGCTCTGCCCATGATTCTGACCCCTCTGACCAAGTCCACTCCCTCCCCCATGTCTGCATCCCTGGTTCCCAGGGAGAGCACCACTCTGTCATCACACTAAAACCCTTTGTAGACTTGAACCTAATTTGTATGCCTGACATTGCCCTTTTTACTGCCCCTTTCTCACCCTTCTCTCGTCCCACTCCCTGATTTCTTTATGCTTCAGAATGTCACCTAAGTGATGCATCAGATGGGTTACACAGGAGTTGGGAATTGAGGACCCTGCAGTTCTTCCAAACAATGCAGGCCCAGCTGTTTATAATTTCATTTAAAATTTTCAGCAGTGTGTTTGATAGCTACCCCTCTTCTGTCCCCAGCATAGTCAGACGTAGAAGAAAAGCAAACACTACTTTCCCTCAAACTGAGAATTTGAAATGAACCAGTGGATAATTGTGGACCCCTCACCCTTGCGGCCTTTCTGGGTTTTTTTTGTGGGGGGGGTTACCTCTTGCAGAGGTACCTTTACCATAACCCTTCTTCCCCGCACCCCTCCAAGTCATAATTCTTTTGAAATAATCAATGTAGCTTCTTCCTCATAAAATGGCTGGGGGCCCTCAAACAGAGACAGTAACCCCAACTGCCATATTGGGGGTGGGGTTCCATACTGCCCCCCACTCTGGGGCCCCAGTTTGTCAGTTGGCTACAGCCTGCTTTCCCATTAAAAAGAACATTTATTCAAGTCATCAGCAGGTTACTTTTTGATCATTATGACTAAGCACCTCTTCCGTTTGAGGTTGTAGACTCCGTGTAAGCCTGGGGAAGAGATGGCAAATGGAAATTGTGCTCCAATAAGTGATAAATAAGAACTCATTTAACACTCACTAGCTGAGCCCCTTCGGTGCCCGATGATGGATTCTCCTTTCCTGTGACCTCACTGAAGCCACGTAACATCCTTCAGGGGCATCCATTGTACTTAGGGTCAAGTGCATGTCCAAACCAAGACCCACAGGGCCCTGCGTGATCTCGCACTGCCTGCCTCCCCATCATATCCTGCTGTTCTTTCCTAGTCGCTTTCACCATACTGGACTTTTTTCCTGTTTCCAAACAGGCCAACCCCTTTCCTAGCTCTGCACCTTTAAGAACCCTGCTTAGAATGTTCCTTCCCCAGTACCTTGCATGGGACTCCATCTCCTCCGTGGTTCCCAACTCAGAGGTCGCTTCCAAGAGTCTTCCCAGGCCCCTCCAGCTGAAGTGGCCATCCCGCCCCTCGTCTCCACAGCTCCCCTTCCTCGCGGCCTCCTGTTCTTCTCTTTCACATACTTGTCTGTCTCCCCAGACACGGAACCTAAGCTCCACGGTGGCAGTGACCTTTTCTGTCTCAATAGTTGAGTCCCTAGAACCTAGAACAGTGCTTTGCTCAAATACCTTTTGCATGAATGAATAAACGATTGAATAAACTCTCACGACAGATTATTGTTTATTGTTAGCGATAGATATTATTTTAATCCATTTGTGGATGAGGTTCAGAAAAGTTGAGTAATTTATTTCAACTTATGTAGAGCTAGTGATTCAGATTCAAGTCTTCGGGGTCTTTTGACTCCAAAACCCAGCTTGTATCCACAAAGATTAATGATGAAGCCCCAACTAGAAACAAGCTCCTGATTGCTGAGTTCAGGATTCTTTCTACACAACGGTTTTCCAGCTGTAACTCATGAATGAAAAGGGGAGTGGGAAACTAATTCTTTTTATCGTTTTACACTCAACTCCCTCCCCTAACCCAAGTGGTAGATCTTAATTTGATAGTGTTTACGTTGGAAGTATTTAAACCCCGGATGGAGCTACACTGTGGCCTGTCAGTGTAGAGGCCAAGTCACAATTCAGAAGAACTGTATCTGCTGAGAGTTGAAGGAAAGGCCCTCCAGGTGAGAGCGGGGCAGAAGCATCCTTTCGCCAAGGTAGAGCTTTGTTTGGACAGAAAAGCTGCAGGAATTTCCCCCCGACCCACTGTGGCGCAGGACAGAGACCTGCATGGAGAAGGGTCAGGAGCTGATGCTCTTGAAGAAAGAGACAGGACCAAGGGAGCCAAAACCATCTTCACTCAGCTTCCTCGCAGAAGTGGAGGTTGCTAAGTGAATGCTGGTCTCATAGCCCCCTCTTGTGGGCATGAGGTGTCATTGCAGCCTCTTTCCGTGTCGTAAGAGCAAAGTCTTGCATTTACAGGATGGTTCCCTTCCTTTGGCAGAGCTCCGTCCTCCATCCCCAGCAGGTGCTGTGGGCACCCAGAGTACCCCTGAGGTCAGAAGTCTACTGTCCAAGCTCAAAAAGAGGAATAGTTTCATTTTACCTTTAATGAGTCCTCAGCAAAGTTATGCTCAGAGTCCAGCACTACTGGTTATTCAGGAGACGGAGGACACCAGGAGGTTTGCTCATGGGCCCTCAGTGAAAGCTGTACCCCCTAACTCCAAGTCTCATCGTGTCTGACCACTGCTAGATGGGCCCTCGGGGATTGGTTCCGTGGTGCTCAGAGCTGTCCACCCCCTCCTGTAATGGCCATGTGTCCACCCCCATGCTGTAATAGTCATGCCAGCATTTACTCAGCCTTATGTGTAAAGCACAGTGAACTGGACTTTTCTGACTCTCCTTAACATTCTGCCCATAAAAATATACAAAAACAGATGTATTCCTGTCTCACAGGACGGGTGTGAGGATTAAGAGATTTTATAAATAGATATAAAGTACCACAATGCCTAGTACACAGTAAGTATTCAGTAAAAAGCAGCTACTTTTAAAATTAATGCTGTTTTCCTAATAGCTGTTTTCTCCTATCCACATTTGCCTTCCTGTCCCTTGCCTTTCTCCTCCCCCTTATTCTTTCATTTTCTTTTTTTTCTCTCTCTCTCTCTTGATTTTGTTTTCAGTTTCTCTATCTCAATCTCCATTCCTTCTGACTTCCCAGGAGCACCTTTGCTTGTTCAGAATAACTCCTGAATACTGTCCTAGCACTCTGTTCTTTTGCTCCATGGTTCATAATCCCTCAGAAAGTAGAAGCCACTGGCCCTGCCTCTCTGCCTGAGGGCAGATTAAGAAATGTGTGCCCCTCCTCCTGTGGCAGTGGGTTCCTAGGAAGCCTAGAGCCTGGCTCAACTCGGAAATGAGGAACATTCACCCAGCCAGTTCTCTGGTCTTGGGGGGGGGGGGACAGAGGTCTGAGCTGCAGAGGGACAGGCGTGCAGACAGCTGTGCGGCCTGGTGACGGTGCAGGGAGCCTGGGTTGCCTTTGGGATCTTGCCTCCCTGTGTTTGGTGAGTGGTCCTGAGAACCCCTGCTGACGACCGTTTCTCTCCCGCTGCAGACCCACTCCGGATACTTCTCCAGCTTGTACCCCCCTCACCAGTTCGGCCCGTTCCCACATCATCACTCAGTAAGTGCCTCTCCTGGGGCGGGCAGCACACAGTCCTTGGTAGACTGACCACATCACGGAGCATAAGCACACCAGACACCCAGCACTTGAGCGCACTAGAGGCTCTCGGGAGCACTGATGCTGCCCGCTCGGCATCCTTCTGGTGGCAGGACGCTGGTGCAGAGGGGCGAGCAATGGGTCAAACCAGGTGGTGGTGTTGGGTTCAAGAACAGAGGTGCCAAAGTTCTCTAAACCAAGTCCAGCAAAGGGCCGTGTCATTCCCAAAGACCCTACAGCAGGGAAAGCAGGGACCGCTGTGGCCTCACCCACGTTTCTCAGGGCCGTCTCCGCGTGGCCTTGTCAGGGTGGGTTTAGTTGCAGTCTCGTTTCACTCCAGTGAAAATGCCGCTCCTGCCTACGAATTGGGCCAGGCAGCTCTCCGTTCCCTCTGACAAGGTGAGCTTCATGGCTACCGATTCCTTGGATGAAGATGCAGGAGAAATACATACCACTTGTCAGAAAGCCCGTGAACAGGCAGTGTGCCATATCCAGCACACTCACAGCTGCCCGAGAGGATTTTGCACTCTGGTCGTCATGTAGTCAGTGCAGCCCACATCCAGGTTCATCCCTCCAGCTTCCCACCTGCAGCGCCCCAGGCTGCCGAAGGATCCCATATGGGATTCCGGCCATTTCCACGGGAACCGGGGTCGCCCCAGTGGGAATGATGTCTTCTGTCTGGTCTTGTCCTTCCAGTATCCAGAGCAGGAGATTGTGAATCTCTTCATCCCCACCCAGGCTGTGGGAGCCATCATCGGCAAGAAAGGCGCGCACATTAAACAGCTGGCCAGATTTGCCGGGGCCTCCATCAAGGTAAAGCTGCTTTCTGCAGGCGCCCGTCTCCCACCCTCTTCCATCCCCACTGCCCACCCCATGCCCTTTGTTCCTTCTGTCCATTCCGGGCCACGCTCACACCATCCAGGGACAAAATCCCACAGGGTCTGGACAAGCTGCCCCCAGGACTATTCCTCTCTGCTCTCATCTTTACCTCTCTTACTCTTTTTTAACTAAGAAATGAATTAGGAAAAAGTACTAGTAATAGATAAGCCAACTGGGTCCTCTTTGGGCCACCATTGTCCTCTCCTCAGGAAGATAAAACAAAGGCTGAGGAGCCCCCCAAGCGCGGGGAGGGGTCTAGGCGGGGGTGAGAATGTATACTCAGCAGCTGTCAGTGCTTGGTGCTTTAGTTTCTGCTTCAGAAACCCTTGAACTGTGAAAAAACAATTTGAATGAAAAACTCTTTGAAAAGCGGTGATGAAACCTTAGATAAACAAAGGCTGGTAACATAACCTGAGACGCAGCCCTGGGACTGGGAGGCTTAGGAAGGAAGGCCCCTGATTTACGCCATGGCTGAGTGTGGACGGAGCCGCAGTTTCGGACCCACATCCTGCCCGCCAGAGCACAGCGGGAAGAGAAGTCAGGGAAGCTGAAAGGGGAGGATTATTCGACCCTGGGCGTGCTCCAAGCCCAGCTATCAGCTCTGACTCACGGGCAGAATGCTGAGCACGTCCTGAGCTTCATGAAGCACTTTTCGGAAACAGAGTTTCCGTTGTTACGTAAAATAATTCGCTACCATGGGACAACCCGGAATTCCGAACAAGAAGTCTCATGACTTGGAGAGAAAGAATGCTTGCACTTTCTCCCCAAGAAGAGCTGGAATTTCTCCCACAGCAAGTGTGCTGGAGGAAAAACAAAAACAAAACATTCTGAGTCGTGCAGAATGAGGACTGCAGTGAGACCAGGAAAGAATTTGATGTAGGTAAATCATTTCCCCTCTTGGGACTCATTTATCTCGTCTGCAAAGCGCCCAGACGGGATGAGAGCCTGAGGTGTGGGTGGACTGTGGCGGCAGCCCCGGGCCTCTGCACCCCGCAGGCTTGTTGCGGGCGAGACCCCAGCCCGGTACTGACCGGCCGCGCGGGCCGGCCCTCTGCGGTAGCACGGGTAAGGCGGACGACCGCTGGGCTGGCTGCGCCCCGTGGGCCGCTCCAGGTGTCCAGTCCCATTGTCTGAGATGTGGTGCAGGGGACAGAATGAGACTCATTTCAACTAAAAGGGACTTGAGGGATTGTCTCATCAAATCCTTCCTTTTTCCCCTGAGAAAGGTGAGACTTGGTTGGGTAACAGGACACAGCCAAGGCAGGCAGGTGGCAGGGCTGGCTCTTAGATACCAGTTCTGTTGACCTGTAGGCTACTGAGCGCCTCCTGGGGCAAGTTGCAGCAGTAACTCTCCACTCCCTGTTGCCCATAAGGAACCAGGGCCCAGAGTTTCACTACGTGTTGACGGCCACAGAGCTAAAGACTGAGAGCCAAGACTGGACCAGGCTATCCTATTTCTGGTCCAGTGTTCTTTCCACCATAGCAACCGGAGTGCTATTCCAGAATTGTTCCAGCAAGCCTTCGGGAAAATAGAGAGGGGTCAATCCCTTGGGCTTCCCTGCATAGCATCCCCTTAGTCCCTCTGTGTCCCAGCAGAGTTGAGTGGTGGTGTGACCTCCGTGATGGGCGGAGACAGCCGGGCTGGAGCAGGGGGCAGAACGGGCTCTGCCACCTGGTCACCTGGTTACGTGCAGGCCAACAACCTGCTTCCCCACCCCGCTTCTCTTTCCCGAGCCCCGCCTCTGTTCAGAGCAGGAGAGGAGAGGAAACCAGGGAAGCCAAGCATTTGCTAGCGACAGTTCCTACTTTTAAAAATTCAGTCTAGTTTTGCTATTCCTTTATCTTGACAAGTGTGTGACAGCATCTGTCTCTAAAGAACTAACTCCACAGAACCACCCCCCCCACCGAATCCTGCTTTGCCAGTCTTCAGGGGCCCCAACTAGAGGCATATTTGATGCTGCCAGGGCAGGGGAGAGCTTTACACTAACACGTGGGAGCAGGGTGCTGAAGGGGCTGGGCTAAGCTGGGATCGAGGAGGTGTATGCAAGAGATGCTTTGGTTACAGGTAAGAGCTGAGCCCCGTCACCCACCTTTCCTGAGAGCATCTGGCCAGCAAGTGTCAGAATGCCACTCACAATTCCTGATCCTTCCTCCAGCCCTGCTCACCCATCATCTTGATGGTCACCTCGTCTCTCTGGGTTCCATTTGCTTCAGTCACAAGATGGGGTCCTCTTGAGAAATATCCCTGTGGAATGTCCTTCCAGAGCCGCAGGAGGAGGCACATGTGGCTCTCAGAGTCCTGGACTGGGCTGTGAACACTGGGCAATGCAGAGATAAGGAGTTTCTTTCATAATCTGAGCAAGGCAGCCGTGAGAACTGAATGGGTCGAGATGAACCGTGAATCAGCCTTTCAGCCCTTCTCAGTTTGGATGTGTCCGAACTGGGAACCACCACGCCTGTGCTCCTGTCACTCTTATTTACTCTTGGAGACAAGGACTAGATTTGATGGTGCCTATGGGTCTGGAAATAGAGACAGGGGCCCCTGCCAGTGGTCTCAGGGGCCAGTCTGTGTGGCTGGAGGGCCTCAGCCCCTGGGCACACTGCAGCCTGTGTATTTTGGCTGAGGCCGCTGCCCTGCAGTTGAAGGCTGGCAGGTGGTCTGTCCGCAGCAAAGGGAAGTCCTCACGCAACGCTGGTCGGTGACCTGTGTCTCAGGTTCATCCTCGTGCCACTGAGTAGTCAGGGCCAGATCCTCTTTGAAGGTCTTGTAGAAGGGTCCCTCCTTTCAGAGCAGGCATGATTCATAGCAGGCCTTGGACATGTCCTCCCGGTAAAGCTGGGACAGCAACACGGGACCCTGAGGCCTGCAGATGCAGCCCAGTGTAGGGCATGTACTGAAAGAAACAAAATTAAAAATTGTGGAGATGGAGGTCCTCCTGGGGGAGCCCAAGGCTATGACACGTGGTTCAGAATCAGTAACTGCAGTGACGCCCTGTCAGTGGTGAATCACATCGACTCTGAACAGCTCAGTCTTGGGGATGGTGTCTCCCCCAAGCCACTGACTTCGTTTGGCTTTAGGGACACCATGACCCAGTAATTGAGCCTGTCTCCTCTTTGTATTTACTCTGAGCTTAGAACTGAGTCCGTTGTGGCCCATCTGAGCACGTGTATAGGACTTGGGGGATCTGTGAACTCACCTCACTCCTAGCTCATTCCTAAATGCCTGGACTTTTAACTCAGCTTAGTTTAAATTAATTCTAATCTTGCTACATTATATTTATTTTTAAAGCTACCTTAAAGGTTTTTGGAATAAGGCAGTGTACGCAGGGGGAAAAAATGTAAAGAGGATCTCTATCAAAAAAATGCATGCTTGACCCGTTGTTTGAGCTGTGTTATAGAAGGCATCAGATTCACGGAGAGAGGGTAGGAGGTTTCACGCTTTCCAGGTTCAGCCGTCATGTTTTACCCCTGGGGAGGGAGGGACTTGCAGAGCCGGCATGGGAACCAAGGTGTCCTCATTCTTGCTCTGGTGCCATCACAGTTGGTTCATGTGCTGTGGATGAGCTGTTCATGAGCTGGGCCTAGTTGCACCCGCTCTAGTTTGACTGTCCCTGGCAGCCAGCTGCCTAAGAGCAGAGAAAGAGAACCAGGGTTCCCTTCCCTGCAGGCTGGCTCCAACTTAACTCCTCTGCAGACCAGCTGCTCCTCCCCTCTGGGCCCTGGGTGGGTTGGTGGAGCTCCTTGGTGAGAGGAGGCCAGTCACTGCTGGTGCGTAGGGCAGGGACAGGCAGTAACTGCTAACCTGCTTCCAACTCGGCCTGGGTGGCTGGAGACCCAAATTTGATCCTGGGCACTGTGGTCATAATCTCCTAAGGCCCCGAGTGGAAGCAGCAGGGTCAGACAAAGCGCCAGGTGCAAAGGCAGAGTTCTCTAATCTCCTGATAGTGGGTGTGCTGTCCACAAGGAGGACAGAGCCCAGAAGCAGCATTTCCCTTCCCCTATGAACCACAGATCGCCCCAGCGGAAGGCCCAGACGTCAGCGAAAGGATGGTCATCATCACCGGCCCACCTGAAGCCCAGTTCAAGGTCAGTGCCAAGAACCCCCTCAGCCCTGTGGGCACAGGGCAGCCTGGTAGGGGAGGCTGAGGGCCTTAGGAGGGACAGCCACTCCAGAGGCTAGTTCGGGCTTTTCTTTGGGGCCCAGCCTTCCTTACCTTTTCTGCCGCCGCTCACTAGTCTCAGAGCCACCCTGTCTTCCCCACCTCCAGCCTGCCCCTTCTGCCGGGAGCCCCCTCCCCTCCCCTCCATGGAAAAGGGGATCGTCTGTCAGTGCAGACAGCACCCCCTCGGGAACATCTCTTATCCCTGAGTCGCGGTTCTGAAGATGGGACCCAAACACAGGGTATGAGGGGAAGTCGCTCGGTTTGTCGGAAGTTGTTTGGTGGGGTGCGTTGTTTTGTTTTTGCTCTTTTCTCCGCTAGGAGAATTATAACTTGAGTTTTCTAAAAGTCAAACATTTATTTATAAAAGTATAATCCTTATTAAAAATATTTAAAATATGTCTGAGTAGAAAAATTAACACAGGTGGAAACATTCAAGAACAATAACCCTTTAATTCATCAATGGATAGACAAAATGTGGTCTATCCACATACTAGGGTATCATTCAGCCACACAAAGGAGTGAAATTCTGATGTATACTACGTCACGGATGAACCTAGAAAACACTACGCTAAGTGAAAGAAGACACAATATACCACATACTATAGATTCCACTTATGTGAAATGTCCAGAAAAGGCAAATCCATAGAGACAGAAAGCAGACCAGTGGTTGCCAGGGCCTGGCGAAAGGGAGGAACTGGGACTGTCTGCTAATAGGTACAGTTTTTATTTGGGGAAGTGGGATGGAAATGTTCAGGTTACACATTGTGTATACTAAAAACCACTGGAGTGGGCACTTTAAAATGCTGAATTTTAGGTTATGTAAATTATACCTCAATTTTTCTTAAAGGTTTTTAAAAAAAGAACAGCAGCCTCTTGGCTACACAGGCTCAGGAGTTAGACATCAAACAGCAAATCCCATCACCACCACCCTCCCTCCACCCTTTAATAGAAGTCTCAACCTACTGTGATGGGAGGAAGAATCCCCCGGATAAATTCATTCAATCAGACTTTGCAGGTGCTGGGGATATGGAAGTTAGACTTAATAGTAAGCTTCCTGTGCGACCATGTGGAAACCCCGACACACAGGTGTGCCCGTGCATGTCTGCCAGGTGCCCTCACTGGGTGCAGCAGCGCACGCCCGCCAGGTCTGAGCGAGCTGAGGAGGCGCCCGGCCACCCGGTGTCCGGCCCGTGAGCTTGGGGCTGGGATGTGCGGTGGCGCAGACTTGCCAGTTCCCTAGCAGCGCTGCTAAAGCAGAGTGACTGGCAGCTGACTGTCTAGAGGGGTGAGAGTCACCCGCCATGTCTTGCTTTCTCAGGCCCAGGGACGGATCTTTGGGAAACTAAAAGAAGAAAACTTCTTTAACCCCAAAGAAGAGGTGAAGCTGGAAGCCCACATCCGAGTGCCCTCCTCTACGGCCGGCCGCGTCATCGGCAAGGGCGGCAAAACCGTGAGTGCGCTCCATGGGCTTCGTCTCCCCTCCTGAATTCCCTCAGACCCCCAATGGCTCTTCAAGACAAAATGTAATTAGCATCATCCAGAATCGAAGGCCTCAAGTCCGTGGTGCTGAGCCAGGCAGGCTGTTTCCTGCCCCTGTAAACCCACACGGGTAGCAGCAGGGAAACAGTAGCGGGTGCAGTCCCACCCAGAGTCCACAGGCGCCCCTTGGAGGTACTGTGGGATCTGGCTCCAGAGCACTGCAGTTGATAAAGCGAGTCACACAATTTTTTTGGTTTCTTAGTGCAAATAAAAGTTATGTTTATACTAGACTGTAATAAGTATACAATAGCATTATGTCTAAAAGAACAGTTAATTAAAATATAGTTTGCTGCTGAAAAATGCTAACCATCATCTGAGCTGCCAGCAAAGTATAATCTTTTTGCTAGTGGAGGGTTTAAAATATTGTGAGAATTACCAGAATATGACACCAACACAAAGTGAGCAAATGCTGTTGAAAAAATGGCGCTGACAGACTTGTTTGATGCAGGGTTGCTGCAAACCTTCAGCTTGTAAAAAACGCAGTATCTGTGAAGCGCGGCAAAGCAAAGTGCAGTAAAGTGAGGTGTCCCCAAGCCCATGTGGCAGGCTGTCATCTTCTCTAGGTTTCACAGGCCCATGGGGTCTGGCTCTTCAACTTCTCCTGACAAATGCCTCCAGGGGCCCTGACTCTCCCACCTCCAGATTCTGTCTTCTGGCTATTTCCCCAAAATAGCCATCTACTACAGAAGAGCTAGTTTAGCAATAAGGTGGTGGGTGAGAAGGAAATAGTTTAAACAATTAATCAAGGTTTTCAGCCTGAAGGTGGCAGTAACACAATGTAATTTGAAAAGTGCCCAGGAATTAACTCAAGCCTGTAGGGAAGAGCAGATAGTCTGTCAGACACAGGTGTGTTCAAGAATACGCCTTACCTATGTGGCAGGAATATGACTCCTGAGAAGGTCTGGCAGAGCCAGTGCATGATGGCAAAGTGATTGTTAGGCAACAGGAATCTGGGGGCTCACTAGACTCCTGTGTGTGTGCGAGCGCTGTTATCTTTTATCTTTACACCAAAGGAATCACAGCCAAGTTCTAGGTATAATCAATCACCTTTATGCAAAAGAATACAGTTGCATGGACTGCAGATGGTTCCCCAGATCTAGGAATGTATTGGATGCAGGAGGCAAAAGAAAGCAGATAGTCCACGGGGAGGAGAATTCTGAGCTCTTCGATGTCCTCTTTGGTTACTTTAGAACCAGTCACTGAATTCTTAGCACCCCCTTGAATCTGTCAGCTGTCTGCTGAGCACGTGCCGAACCATCTGTGCCCTCGGAGGCCGGGGCCGGGGACCAGCCCTCGGGGGGTACGGTTTTGTTGACGCTGGTGATGAGGCGCAGGAAATGGGCTTCAGATGAGGGGAGACCAGCCTGGGCTGACAGCTTTAGGAGGTGGGCCTGAGAGGAACTTAGCAGCAGGGACAAGTGAGCTATCCAGGGGGAGGGAGGCAAGAATGAAAGTGAAGAGCGGAGAACAGAGCAGGGCCTAATGCGAAAGGAAAGTTTGCTCTGGCGAGTCAGACAAGGGGCGGTGGCAGCTCACGGTGGGCCCCGGGAGAGCATGTCCAGGAGCGATGCTCCCCCCGGATTATCGGGAAGCCTGGGGGAACTGTGAGCCTGTGTAGGAGCCACACTGACAGGAACTCTGGAATGAGGATTCACCCCGGAAGCAGCTTCATGAAATCAGGGGCTGTACTCCCTCTCCGTGCCACTGAGCCTCCCAGGGCCCCGATCAGCATGGCCCCGTGGGACCTGCACCGGGGACGCCCCCAGTGGCATCCTAGATGGAAGGAAAGGGAGCAGCTGCAGCCTCCTTGCCCTCCGTCACTGCCCTCTCCACTTCCTCCTGAGCCCACTCTTCTCCCTTCACAGGTGAATGAACTACAGAACTTAACCAGTGCAGAAGTCATCGTGCCTCGTGACCAAACGCCAGATGAAAATGAGGAAGTGATTGTCAGAATTATTGGGCATTTCTTTGCCAGCCAGGTACCTGTGCTGTGAGAGTCCATCTCTCCTGCTAATCTCCTTTCAAGTCTCTCAGCTCTTGGTGACCTGTCAGGTGGCCCCAGGCCCTGCACCCCACCCTGGGTACACGTGGACGGAACAGGGCAGGGTGGGTGTTCCTCAGCTCGCCGAACTCCCCTGGGCCTGCCAGAGGAACCTGAGGAAGAGGGTAGGGCTTTGGAGTCAAGCCAGCACATCTCAAGCCCCTGAAATGCTGAGCTGTGAGCTCTCCTGTCTCCTCGCCTTCCTACTCAGGCCTCAGTCCCAGTCTTCCCCTGCTAGGAGCCACATACCAGGCAAGGGCCATCTGCGGGGAACCCAGCCAGGCGCCAAGAGCCTGCCTGGGTGCCAGAAACTCACTGTTATGGGTTAAACTCATCTCAGGACACCTTCCTTTCTCTTTCTTCGCCTCCACCTCATGACGACACCCCTTCCTCCCTCCCACCCCGTCAGGACACGGGGCTCCACACAGCTGCTCCTCTTCCAGTCAGACGGGCCAGTGACTCCACATCGTGTGGCCCGGTTCATTTTGATGCCTTTATTTTAGGGGGCGGGGGCTTCTAAGCTGGCACTGAAGGCTGCTCTGAATGTCAGTGTGTGCTCTCAACGCAGAGCCTCTGCCAGGAGACCTGACTGTCAGGGACAGTCATCTGTCTTGCTGCTGCCCCTGCTCCCAGAGCGCCTTTTGAGACCTCTCCACACAGAGCCCGGCCACAGCCCCTACGCTCTCCCCTCCCAGCTCTTCCAGCGCCCAGACGTGGGTCTGAACCACGCTCCTGCAGTTCGGTCTTAGGGTTCTCCCTGCAGTGGGAGCACTAGGGTGCTGAGGGGGCAGGTTTGGGTTCGTGCATTTCCCCCGATTGTTCAGGGTAGTGTCTAGGCCAGTTTCTCACTTTCTCCCCTATCCCTCTCACAGTCCATCTTTCCTAGCAGTACATGATCAGTCTTCGTAGTAACGTGGTAACTCTGGGAGGTGGGGGTGGGGAGGGCAGCATCGGAAGCTGGCGCGCATGCAGCCAGGAGCATGCTGTGTGAACCCTGCAGGGTCCCTAGTCACCGGTGCCCTGGTTCTGCCTCCCAGCCTGTCTGTCCAGCAATTCCCTGAAAGTTTCTGGGGTCCCAAACCCTCATCCGCCCCACAGCAGGGTAGGGGTGGGGAACTCTGCCACTTGACTTCCAGGCAGAAAAGGCCCCCAGAGTAAGGGCTTTGGCGGGTAGATGACACTTTCTGAGTTTACCACCTCCTTCCCCCAAGTCCCAGCCCCGCTTCTGCACCCCCCACTGCCTGTCCTCAGAACTGGGTTCCTTTTTTCCCCCGTCCCCCTCCTCTCCCCTGCTGCAGACTGCACAGCGCAAGATCAGGGAAATTGTACAACAGGTGAAGCAGCAGGAGCAGAAATATCCTCAGGGAGTCGCCTCACAGCGCAGCAAGTGAGGCTCCCACAGGCACCAGCAAACAACGGATGAATGTAGCCCTTCCAACACCTGACAGAATGAGACCAAACACAGCCAGCCAGATCGGGAGCAAACCAAAGACCATCCTGAGGAACGCGAAGTC